GAAAAAAAAGTAAATTCCAAAGTCAGAAATTTATAAAGAAATTAAGTTCTTATATTATTTACAAAAAAGAAGTAAGAAAAGCCCTTCAACAAAGATTAACTCTGACAAGAGAGAAAGTTTAAATAAGAGAATTGATAAAATAAATCAATTGCATCAGATACAGATCACACAAATGCCAGAGTTGTTGAGTCAAATTCAATTAGAGAAACTAAAAAACTGGGTAAAATTCTTAAAAAGAAAGCAGATAATAAAGAGTGGAAAAAAAAAAAGTGAAATTCGTGAGAAAATAGAATTGAGATTTAGTATAATGGAGAAAAACAAAAAGAAAATGCTTCAAAGCCTGCTAAATAGACTATATAACAAAATTATGATTAACAGAGTTCTGGTAGGAGAGAATTCCAGAGTTCACAATCTGGAATTGATTAATGATGAAGAAGGAGTAAAATGGCAAGTAATCTTTTACTTTAAAGAAAAATTTAGAAAAATGAATTAAAATTTTAAAAAGATAAAAACGGAATGGAAAGAAGAATACAAGCCAAAAAAAGAAATTGATTCTATGATATATAAAGAAGTAACAAACCCCTTATACTAGAGGAATGGACACGAGCTTTAAGTAAAGCCAGAAATGATACAGCACCAGGAATCTCAAATATTGGCTATATTCTATTTAAGAAATTACTACCCAGAGTAATTAAGAAAATATTATTATTGATGAATACAATTCTCGAACAAAGCAAGATTCCAGATAAGTGGAAACTTGGGCAGATATACCTAATTCCAAAAAATAGCTCTTGGGAATATAATCTAAACAACACGAGATCTATAGTACTACTTGAAATATGTAGAAAAGTTTTGACACAAATGCTTTAAATAAGGCTAGATAAAGTATTAAGCAAAAATAGTATACTAAAAGGAGCAAACTTCGCAGGCTTGTCTGGGGAAAGTATATCAACACCTATCCATATAATGAACAATATAATAGAAAAAGCAGTAGAAAAGAAAAAAGAGCTCTGAGTCACATTTCAAGATATGAAGAAAGCCTTCGATTTAGTTAGTATAGTCTCACTAAAGAAAGCTCTCAAAAGAATTAAACTTCCAGTGAAAATAATTGGGATAATAATGGAGCTTTATGAGAATAGGCAGCTTAGCATTATAACAAAGTTTGGAAGTACAGATTTCATAAAAGCAGGAGATGGTATAGACCAAGGAGAAGTACTGTCTCCATTAGTTTAGAGGATTTTTTATAATCCTTTACTTTGTAAAGTACAAAAAGCTGAACTAGATTACAAAATGCATAACTCAGAAGCATGTATAAACCCAATAAACAATGAAGCAAATATTAAAGTAGAAGTGTTAGTATATGCAGACAACACAACGTGGTTAATAAATAGTCAAAAAAGCATGCAAAGTACAATTGACATCACACAAGAGTTTTATAAGTTAAATGATATTGAAATAAACCCAAACAAGACTGAACTCATAGTGTTAAAACCGGATAAAAAAAAGTATACAAAAGATTCTGCAATCTGAATGGGCAATCTGAGAATCAAAATTATAGCAAAAGATTCTAAAGAAACTACAAGATTTTTAGGGGTTTTAATATCAATTAAAAACCAAAAAAAGTCTGATATATTCAAAGCCAAAAGCTTAGTAGGCAAGATCATGGGCCTACTCAAGCACAAACAAATGTCTTTGAGCCAGATCATATATGTAAACAATGCAATTTTTATACTTATTCTTGAATATAAATTAATAATCTCATGTTTAACTAAAGCATAGTGTGAACGAATACATCAACCAATGATTCATTTGATAAAATGGAAAATGTCGATACCTTTCACAACAGTAAATATAATAACAAAACACTCAGAAATAACAGACCTCAAGAGTTTTTGGAATAGATATATAGAGCATTATATATTAGAGTTACTAGTTAAACTAAATACACCAGATTTATTAGAAAAATCATTAGTAAGAAAGCTTAAGCAAGGCCAAATAAGAGCAGGATCTTTAAACTATATCTTAACAAATCAGAAGGTATTAGCAAAAGTTGAAACAAAAGGTTGTAACTTAGGTATAAACATATTGCAGCAAGCATGTACTCTGGGCTTTTTAATAGAAGAAAATGAAATTACAAAGAACTGGAATTTAGACTTTATACAAACGGTAAATGATGAAGAGATCACATGTGTTTTAGAGCATCTAAACATATCTTATGAGGAAATGAAAGCGAGCTGCTTGGGTTTAATTTTAGTTTCACAACTCATTGCAAAGGATGGCAAAACAATATATATATAGAACCAAGTCAAATTGGCAGGTGGCTTAGATTTGAAAGAGAAAAAATCAGGCTAGTTTGCTAAACTAGAAAGTGAAATACTAGAAAATTCTTTTACATGAGTAGTCAAAAATAGATATAACTACAAAGCAAATAATATTAATACACTTAGCCTAGAGACAAAAGAACCAAGTGCTAATAAAAGAATAGGTTTGCTAGAGAGATGAAGCAAATACAATGCTCAAGTTAGAAAAGGTTAAAGAAAAAGAAAATGCTTATATAGAAGTCGAAAAATACAAGGAAATAACATATTATCATGAAAATAAAATGCAGCAGTTATTAGAAATTTGAAAAAAGTAAAACTTTTATGGTTAAATGAAAAAACTTAAAGACATTTCAAATATAGTTCAGAAGACAAAAACGAGTACAAAGTTGATTTTTGAAAAAAGATATATAGAAGAGGTAATTAGTAAAAAGGAAGAGAAAGTGCTTGTTAAAGCAAAAGAAATGAAAAGAATAAAGAGAAGGGTAAAATAGGTATAAAGTACAAATATTGAAAAATAGTTTTAGTTAATAAAATAGTTCAGGATGATGTAATTAGATCTAGAATAGCAGAAAGTTTAAAACAAAATAGAGAATTAGATAGTTTATTTTTCTATACAAATGGCTCACTTGGTACTGCAAAGAATGAAAAAAATTAGTAATGGGATGTGGAGCAATTCAAACCACAAAAACAGGTCAGATTTTGTATCAAATATCTTGTGCGACAAAGAGGTGGTTCTCATCTACAAGAGCAGAAATAGTAGCAATATTACTTATATTATTAACTACACCTCGTGGAAGAAGAGTAGAGATATGAATGGATAGTAAAATAGCAATATTAGCAATCAAAAAAGGCCTAGAGACAAACAAGATAAAACTTTGATTGAAGACTAAAAATTGTGGTTTGGTAATAACACTTGTAGAGGTAATTAAAACAAAGGAGCTAAATACACACTTTATAAAAATCAAGAGTCACTCAGGCGATATTTTTAATGATCTTGCAGATTTGAAGACAAAGAAAGGTTCCAAGTCAACGGAGTACTTAAACCCAGAAACACTATATATGAAAGGCCACAAAATAAGATATATATAGAAAGTTAAATTAGTTGAAAAGCCTATCCATTCTTTCGTCAAAATAATAGGGAGAGTACTATTAAAAGCAGAATGAGCTTTTGCACATAATACACATGATGAAACTCATCAAGAAAGAAAGAGTACTCAATTTTAGTCCATGCTACACAACATATTGAGAAGCAAAACCAGACAATGAAACTACACTTTTAAATCAAATACATTACAGCTCTTTAAAACAAAGTATATAAACAACATGCTTCCAGTATTCGAAAAACTCAATCAAAGAAGGCTAAAAACATACAAGACAGATAAATATATTATATGTAAAAAGAAGAAAAAGAATGTAGAACACCTAGTGAGCTGTAAAACTTCTCTGAACCTACTCCGTAGCTAGAGAAGCAAGTAGTAGAAGCAACTCTGCTTGAATTAAAAGTAGAAAACTGGGAGAAAATCAAAGAAGAAGTCTTAATAATGCTAGAAAAGGGATCCCAAACTGAAGAATCACGTAGAAGAAAAAAATAGATTAGAGGCCTAATCACAAAAGAAGACTTTGACAAGTTGAGATTTCTTTTTAACTCAAATAATTAAGCAAAAAGCTTTTTAGGTAGACTCTGGAAGAACTGGGTGAAGGAAGTATACAAAAGAATATGGGTTGCAAGATGCAAACTAGTGCAAAAATAGGAGAAAGAAAATGGATCACACCAAAAGATAAAAGAAGATCGCACAAAAAAACAAGAAAGGAAAAAAAGAAGAAACTACCAGATAAATGTACTAGAAGAAAAAAAAAATAATAAAAATGAAGAAGAAGATAAAAGATGGAGCTCAATTTTAGAGATAACTAAAAAAGAGATTTTAAGGTGGATCGAAAAAGAACAATAGGCAGATTGGTGGAAAACTAATATATAGTTTTGACAAGCAATAAGATCCAGCTGGTGACGTATTATTGAAGCCAATTGCAGGATAAAATAATACAGAGGCAAATCTTATTATAGCAGGTTGCATATAAGTACTTAGTGAGCAATTAGATGAGTTTTCACTTGTAATTTAGGTACTATAGAGTATAACTTTGTAAAAAATTTTAATAGTTTAGATAATTATTACAAAGCCTAATAAAGTAAAGATAAGACTGCCAAATTTGATAAAAATATATATATATATTATTATTTATCAGTGACTACATATATCATTATTATTTATCAGTAACTACATATATCATTATTATTTATCAGTAACTACATATATTATTATTATTTGTTAGCGACTGCATCAAATAATCATTATTGTTTATTTTTTTTTTATTATTAATACTTTTGTTAAAAATATCTACTTCTAACAAAAGATGAAGTATATCTAATTCTAATATTTCTAACTCTAATCTTTCTGACTCTAATAAAATCAATAAATCTTCTGAAAAAGAGGTTATTTATTTGGACTTATCTGGAAAGATCAGTTGGGTATAGACTTTTTTTCGACAAGAACTTAGAAAAAAAAAGCAAATAGATAAAATATTCAATATGTAAAATTGAAGTATTAAATGGTAAAGAATGTAAATAAAAATATAAAAGTGGATTCTCAACTGGTAATCTTATTGGACATTTAAGTACTAAACATGGTATAACAAAAACTGATCAAATTCTTAAAATGGTATATTTGATATTTAATACATATATCCAAATTTTTTATTTGGATCAATATTAATTTTAATATTAATTAATTTAATAAAATTTAGATAAGATCTATTCATCCTCATGATGAAAAGCGACAAAAAGAATTACAACAATTACTTGTTACTTGGCTCATAGCAAATTCATGCCCTTTAATTATTGTTCAAAGTGAATTTTTTTGTCGATTTATAAATGAGCTTGATCCAGTATTTCTAATTCCTGATGTTAAATTAATTAAGCAAATTATTTACCAAGCTTATAATTATTTAATTTCTATTTTACAAGAGCATATTAAACAAAATGCACTTAAAGTTTCACTTATAATAGATTTATAAACTGCCAAAAATCTGCAAGGCTATCTTGGAATTACATACTCATATATTGATTGCCAATTTAAATTAAAAGAAATTACTTTTACAATCCAATATGTTCATTATCCTCATATAGCAAATCATATTTGTAAGACAGTAGAAAAAATTCTTAAATATTGAGATCTTAGTGAAAAAGTGTATTCTATAACAACCAATAGTAGTTCAAATATGAAAAAGCTGTATTAAAAATGAATAAAGTTAGATGGCAACATTGCAGTTTACATACTTTACAATTAGTAATAGGAAAACATTATTGCCAATAGAATCTTTAATTGCTTGTATTAAACGTTTAATTAATTTTTTTTTACATTCTAAACAATCTAAACAATTAAAAAAAATTCAAAAAAAATTCAAATATGATACATGTGGTAAATATAATATTATTATTTAATAATAATTATTTTTATTAGTCTAATTTTTTTTTTATACATAATAAAGAATGCTGAAGAGACTACTGAGTATTTAGTTAATTGTATCTCAGATTGTAGAACTAGGTGGAACAGTTCTTATTTAGCTTGGATTCGATTAGTTTAAATTAAAGTTTATATTGAGTTTTTGATTATTTATTTAACAACTCATGATAATTTCAATGAACAGAAAGATAGAAAACAATTACAAGAAATTAATTTAACAAATTCAGAATGGGAGTTAATAAGTTCTTAGACCTTACGAAGAAGTAAGTAAACATTTTAATGTATAACATTATAATAATTTTATTAATATAACATTAATTATTATAGACAACCAGATATTTAGATGGTTTTTATTATGCAATACACAGTTTTATGCATTGGGTTGTAAAAGAATTAAAAACTATTTTTAACTAAATCAAGTAAATGATGAATTTTATAATATTGAAAATCACAATACGTTTGATGATTATAAGAAAGAAGAGTTACAAAATGAACAATCTTGAATTAAATTAAATACACCAGTAAGGGGGCATTTATAAATAACATTATGTTTGAGGAGGGAGGGTTCCCCAAAATATAACGATTTTCCAATATTTAGAGGGGGGTTCCCTAAAATATAACATAATTTTTTTATAAAAATTTGTTTAAAATTTGATCCAGTGGTCCAAAATTGGATAATTTTAGTACCATTCGAATCCTCTTGAGAAGAGGAGTCGAATGATACCAATTTCATTTGATTTGGATCACTGGATCATATTTTATTAACGAAATACTATTGGTTATTATGTTTTCTTATAAAATTACTATAAAATCAATAGTATTTCGTTAATAAAACGTTATCTAGTCCAAATAAAATGATTTTGGTACTATTGGATTCGTCTCACAGAGATAAATCGAATAGTACCAAAATCATCCTAATTGGATCACTGGGTCATAATATATTCAAGTTTTTGTAAAATTATATATATAAATATATGGATTTTTAAAAAATTTTTATATAGTCTGGGGGTCAAGAGCTACTATGTAAGGGTATATAACATTATATATGGATGCCCCCTAAATACTACAGGTCTCTTAGAAAAAGTAAAGCATAATTTGTATAGAACATTATGCCATTATTATCCCAATCTGACATCACAAAAATTAATATTAGCATTATTAGACTCATATCTTAAATCACTTTATTATATAGATAATATGGATAGAACGGCTATTAGAAATTTTCTTGAACAACTATATGACAATGAAAAAACTATTGAGATAGATCAAAATGAGAAAAAGTTTAATAATAATACTCATAATTTAAAAAAAAAAGTATCTAATGAATTTATAATCACTCCAAATCCATTATATACACTATACTTATTAAAATCATTAGAAAAAGAAGATAACCTGGTAGCTGATGAAATTGATAAATATATGAGACAGCCTGAAATAAGTCTCAAAAAAGATTCTTTGGTGGGATTTATATTCAAAGAAATTTTCAATACTATCTAAATTGGCAAAAATTTATCTTGCAGTCTCGGCAACATCTACCCCAAGTGAACGTTTATTTAGTGATGCTAGTAATTTAATGACATCAAAGAGAACAAGAATTTCTCTGAACTTTTTAAAAGAATGATGTTTTTAAAGAGGAATATTAATCAATATTAAAATATTCATCCTGAATAATATATTATTATTTAGCATTATTGTTTTTATTTATTCTGAATAATATGTTATTAGCGTTAGTATTTATTTATTCTATTATTTAGTGTTAATAGTAGTACATATAAGTTTATATAAATAATATAATTGTAAACTTATATGTACTGTACTTGTTGATTATAGCAATAGAATTGTTGTTGTGCATTAAGAAAAATAAATATATTATTTTTTTACGTTATTGTTATTAAAATATTAAATATTATTATTATCAGATACAGGATATTTGCAAAAAGGATAATGGATAATCTAATCTGATTTAATATTAGGATTAGATATATCTGTTTAAAAAATATCTGTATTAAATCCGAATATAGTTATCTGGATTACTACTTTACATTATAGCTAATAGCAAAATATAAAATATACAAGCCACTTAGGGTTTATACAATTCTATTGAATGTGGTTAATATAAGCCACTGCCTCTGTAGCTTAAAGTTACATAACTACCTGGCTTTAGATAATTTCCAAAAATAGACATCAGTTCTAGAACATTTCTAGAATGATTTGCTAACAATTGGCAAATTTTAATTAGCTTTTAATAATCTCTTTGGGCTAGTACTTAAGTAATTTTCACAATTATCTATTAACAGTTAAACAATATATATGATTACTGCAAAAAGCCTCTAGATTTATAATCACTCAAAATCTTTTTATAATCTATAATTTCCAAAAAGATAAATAAAATATAAAAAGTGCAAAATTCTATATAAGAATATTATTAAACTAAAATTATTAAACTTTTTTTTAAAAAAGATTTAATACTTAAAAACAATATTATCTACTAAATAAGTATTAAAACAAAAGCCAATATATACCGGAAAACTCTTCCCAATGATTATTTAGACCAAAATTTTTACACTAACAGAAAATAAAACAGCTTATATTGGAGCATCACTTATTATAAAGTATAGTAAGATAATACAAGAAATAGATTTATAAAGGTTAACTTCTTGTTTGAGGACTCTTTTATATATTTGCCAAAAGCATTAAAATACAAGATAACTAGCAAGAGAAGGTAAGGTGCCTTTGTATACAAAATTTTAGTAGAATTAGCAAAACAAAAAGAAACAATATAAGAATGAGTTAGGGTGCTAACATTTATTAGATAATATTTTAGAGGGTGGGGTCAAGCAAAACCTTACCTTATATAAAACAATTATAGCCAATCAAATCTATCTAAATAACTTATCTGGGGGTAGGGGGTAAGCCTTTATAGTAAATGAATACTAGGTAATAAATGTCACGGATTATTGTGAAATCAGATCATCGTGAAATTTGGGGGTCTTGATTTGAAAATATAAGCCCTACCAAAATCCACCTATACTCTTTTATTAATAATTCTAACCCTAAACCCTAACTTAACTATAAAAAAAAAGCTTACAAAAAAGGCCCTAAAAAATTTTAAAAATCGTATATAAAATAAATCTAAATTTCACGATAATCCAATTTCACGATAATCTGTGACAATAAATATCAAAGCTCTTATCTAACACACTTCTTTAAAAATTTTACAAGTACAGATAACCAAAAACCTCTTTATACTCTCTTGCTATATTTTGGAGTTTTTTGAAAATTTTTGCCAAAAAGTGGAAAATCTGGTATATCTTTAACAAAAGATTTACATAATTTTTTAGACCTTACATGATCAATAATAGTGCTATTAGAATTTGTTTTATTTTTTTTGTTTTTTGTTTTTTTTGTTTCAGTTGGTAGCTATTTCTGGAAAAAATAAAAGTTTTAGAAAAAAAAAGTTCACATATATTACAAGTTAAAACTAGATTAGTTTTATACATAGTATATAATTTTTTAAGCCCGGTATGAGCATTATTAGTGTTATTAGAATTTTAATTATTTCTTTTTGTTTTTTCTTTTTTTCATTTTTTTGGTTATTTCTTATTTGGTTTGTTTAAAAATTCCTCTTTACTAAAAGCCATTGACTATTTTTAGAAAGAAAAAAAATTAGAAGAAAATAGATATAGTTTTGATACAGTAGCTAAAACCATGCTAAAGCAGTTCTTTAAATATAAATAGTATCATATATAGGTTCTGTTAGCAAATATCAGTGCAATACCATACTTGGGTACTTTTTAAGCAGCTGGGTACTGCCAAATATGTATATTGGATATAAAACTTGAGCCAAGTTTAAGTGATTCAATAAATTTGTATAAGGTTATCAAAGTAAAAAAAAAAAAATTTAAAAGCAAAAGCTCAAGATCTTCTTTGTATTTTTAGTAATTTAGTTTGTAAATACAAAAATTTTGAATTAAATTACTGTGAAATATCAAATTCTAACTACTAGAGAAATGCTAATAGACCAATGGCAATTAAGTGGCTTGAATTATTTTAGATCTTATACCTGAATTTAGAGAGTATCAATTTTCTAATTATTTTATTTGTATATTTTATTATAACCAAATTGTATCTATTAACCATTTTTACTATAAGCTTTTAGGTTATTTTACTAGTAGTAAAAACAAGAAGCTTTGAAATAATAATTTTATTGAAGATTCAAAGATCAAAAACAAAAAATATTTAAATTAAAAAATTAACTAGATAAATATTATAAAGCAATAGAGCAGCTAATAAATTTACTTTAAAAATAACATGATGCAAATATACAACTAACCAAACAGTAGAATTCTCAATATGGCAATTAATATAAGTATATACAGATAGCTATTGATATTGTATTACTTGAATAAGAGTTATTATTTTATAGCATTGAATCTCTTATTATAAAAAAAACTTATTAAATTATATTCTTCAAACATAGCTAAGTAAATATAATTAGATTATTTTTTTTTTTAAATTTGGCAATCTTGCCCTTATTGTATTAGAATGTGTAATCAAAATACATAGTTTCTGAACAAAAAACCTGCAATAAACTTAATGTCTTCTACTCTTTTACTCTTCAATAAAAACTCACTTGGCTGCTTGTAATAGTGCCCAAGTGTGATCTGCTGCGGCAATAATTCACTCCTTTCTATCTAACTTACTAGATGACTTCTTGAAAAAATCACTGAAAGCTTATTGCTAGCTTTGTCAAAATTCTTAACATTTTTTCTTCTTTAAAGAAGTATACAACAAATAGAAGTAAAATAACAAAAAACACAAATAAAATAAAAATGACAAAAACAAAGAGGAAAAAAAAAAATAAAGAAGAATAAAGAAAAAGAAAACAAATATGAAAGGGAATATAAAAGAAAAAATTACAAAGAAAAGAAAACAAAAAGGACAGTAGAAAATTCTGTTTTTTTAGCACTACTATTACCCATGCTAGGCTAAAAAAAATTATATAACGAATATGATATTTGTATATCTCTAGTATAAAGCTTTGCTTTATCAAATAAATTTTTTGACTAGATCATCCGAACTTCTAAATAACGTAAGTGGCCAACCTTGGTATTATGTGAAGCAGCATGGTCTATAAACAAAACAAACCAGACACATAATTACAGTCTGCTAGAACTGTTTAGATTTGGGAAATATAAACAATGCCAATCTTTTGAAGAGGGTAAGCCATTTTGCCCACTTTTGTGAGAAATTTTGAAAGAGCGGCGAGGAGGCAGAAAAAAGAAATAAAACTACTTTGTTTTGTTTAATAAAGAAGTATGTATTTTCTTTACTCAATACACTGAATCTATAGAAAGGTGCAAGTACTCTCTTTATTTTTTTGATAAGTGATAAACTCTAGAATTGTCAGCAAATAGCATATGAAAACTATTTCTAAATGACAAATACCGGCCTCCATGGTGAGTGATAATTCTTTTATCTTTACAGACACTTGTATTTTTTA